CTTCCTGATCTGGCACCCACCCTTGTGGGTGCAATTCCCCAGTGTGTTTCTTCACGCTGGCTGCCCAGCCAGCAGACACATTCTCTCAGTTTCCAAGAGCACAGCACATCTCTTACCGACCTTCTGAACACTGGGGCTTGGCTGACTGCTGTGCCACAGGCTACCTCTTTCAGACAGACTTAGGTTTCCATTGCCTGGCTCTGGCCTTCCTGGGCTTAGAAAATTTGCTTTGGCCGTCTCTTCTCTCATCTCTAGCTCCCACAGCCCACCTCGGCCAGGACTTCTGCGCCCAGGAAGGCCTTATATCCCCCACCCCACCCTGGCCTCGACCCTCCACTCTCAAGGCCCTGCCTGACTTTCTTCTGCCCCAGATACTCCCGCTCTTGCCTACACTGCCTGCCCTCGAACTGGCTCAGCTGCCACAACCCTAGGCTCTTTGAGTCTAGGATCCTCTCAGCCCACTCCCAACACAAGTATCTTTGTCAAGACTCGGATTCCTTTGCCCAGAATCGTGCTTTTCCACCCCACCAGGGCTGCCCCAAGGGCCCGTCAGGTCCAGCAGCTTGAGCTCGGGTCCCTGCACCCGACCTCCTAGGATTTCTTCCAAAGTCTTGTCGTCCGGTCACTCCACCCTACCAGCGTTCCTGCCCCTATAGCCTTGGTGCTTCGGCGCCTCTCTTTTCCCTCCGGACGTCCCTGGGTCCTTCCGTCCCTCCTCTGTTCTCCTCCCCAAGCTTCAGGTCTACTCCTTTAGCTGCAAGGGTCCCTCCACCCATCCTTGGGACCCAGGCCTGCAGGCTCTGGTTCGTCCAGGGCTCTTTGGTCTCTCCCAGCGTCTTCCAGTCCCTCCCGACCCCTGCTGGGGTCCCTCCGTGCCTCCACGGTCCCCTCTGCCACACCTAGAGTCCACGGGTTTCTCCTCCAGCCCCTCATCCCCGGGCTCCCACAGTCCAGGCTCAGTTCCCTCCTCCTCTGCCCGCTGCCCTCGTGTAGTCTCCGCGGTCCTTTCCTCCAGACCTCAGTTCCCTACGCGTCCCACACACGAGGTTCAGGCACCCCCCCCTTTGTGTCCCTCCGTTTCTCCTTGGGTCTCCTGGGTCCACTCCGCCAGCCCTCCAGGTGCCCCATGCAGCAGGCTGGTGTTTTCCCACCTCCCTTTCGTGTCCCTCCGAAGCTCCTTGGGTCCCTCCCTGACTCCTGGGTCCACTCTGCTAAGCCTCGGGGCCCTTTGAGGTCTCTCAGTCCAATTAAGAGTCCCACATCCCAGGCTCGTTCCCATCGCATCCCTCCTGGAGTTTCTCTGTGTCTCCTTGGTCCTTTCTGCCAGGCCTCGGGTTCCTCCGTTTTCCCTGGGTGTATACCATCCATTGAGGAGTCCCACACACCAGGTTACTTCTCTCGGAGCCCTCTTTTTACCCTCTCCATTCGGGTTCCTGCAGGCCTCTCTGGTCTCTCCATGTCACTCTTCCAGGGCTCTTGCCCCCAGAGGTCCCTGCGGTTCCTCCTCCTCTTAGTGGAGCTCATCCTCACTTAACTCAACCCTATGCTGCTGCGCAAGTGCCCTTCCCCATTCTGCCCAGTGCATACCCTTCTTGAAATACAAAGAAAGATTTGCCCTCTGAGAAATGGGGAGAGGAATCTGGGTGTTTTACTTCATATGTTTCTTTTTTAATGGATGAAGGTTAGAATCATCCATAAAGTGGCTAGCCTTTCTCTTTTGTGAATATGGTTCTAAACTTTTGCCAATTGCCCATTTGCTATGTGGGCCTTTCCTGTGCAAGAGAGGTCTTTGGACTATAAATAAATCAGCATTGTGTGGTGAGTGATCTACGTTTTCCTCAGTGTCTCTTGAGTTATTCCTGGATGTTTCTGCCAGGGTTTTACATTTTTTTTAAGGAAGTCAGATGTTTTAATCGATTTATGGCAAATTCGAGTGATTTTCTTTTTGCTGACCTTACAAAACCATTCAAACATCTTGTTGGTATTAATTCTGACCCTTCCATCGATGACCAGCCTACTCAACCAATGCAGTTGTTCTTCTGAACAATCCACTTGGTCCTTATCGCCAGAGCTCATCACCTTCCCTCATTAGATGATGAAATGGGTGCTGAGACTTATGTATCAGATAGGGAGGTACATGGGTTGCCTCCTGGGGCTGAGTTTGACCTTTGTGTTTTGGAGAAAAGTGTGGTAACTGCCCAGCAGTCATTTGCTGAGAAACATACTGTGTATGTCTGGTGAGCTCCCTTTTTCATTTCAATTGAGAGGGTTTCTTGCAAGCAACGGATTCAGATTTTGTGAGAATGAGATGACAGGTATCCTGGGGACCTGTCTGTCACTGTCATTGGAAAACCCAGTTCATTGGCAAAGGCAAGGGTCAAGCTGGTCTTTGTCTTTGCAGGAGCATCATTGCTGGGGTTGCTTATGCACAATGCTGGCTAGTCAAAGGACCTACACTTGTGTTAGAAATGAAGTGACACTTGAGAGCCTCTGTTGGGGGCATTTTTAAGGCATCTGGGCTTGATTCCTGTGATTGATAGCCACACTCAACATTCAGGGATAGAGGTGGTTTTGGGGGATTTTTTTCCACCCACCCTGAAAAATGCACCCATGTATGGCGGCCTGGCTCCTCAAAGCAGCAACATTTTGAAGTGGGGCCTGGAAAGGTGATTAAGACATGGGGTATCTCACCCCTCTCTGGATGCATCTATGGAATGCATAGAAGGACAGTGAATTAGGATTTGGATCCTGTTGGGGAGTGACAATGCTAGGTTCCTTCTCAGGTCTTAGTGAGGTAGGACCCCACAGAGCATTGCCAAGCAGAAAAGTAAACCAATAATCAAGGGACTTGAACACACTGTTTTGTTGTGTGTGTGTGTGTGTGTGTGTGTGTGTGTGTGTGTGTGTGTGTGTTTTGTCTTGTTTTGAACTTTTTAGAAAGCTGGAAAGGGAGAATGAAGAGCAAAGGGCAAATTGAAGATACTCCTTTAGGCTGTATTGTTTGGGGCTCATAAATATGTGTACTTTTGGAGACAGATGTCCACGGTGTCACCCAGAGGTCAGTTTTCACTGTGTCTCAGGATGAGAGTCTCTCTTGCTTGTTTGCATGAGGGACCCTTGCTCAGATATTGAGCCATCCACACTCTATACTGTGTTTTTTTGGAAGACCATGATTTTTAATTGTCTTTTAAGCCAGGTATGGAGGTATGTGGTCTAAAATGAATGCCTATTTTTGGTGCTCTTGTAAGTGAGCAATCATTTTTAAGGGTTCAGGAGGAAAAATTGCCAAGTGTACACCTCATATTATGTAGTAAGTAGCTGCGTTTATTGAAGATCACAGGACAGTAGCAGGAACAGGGAGAAGGTTGAAGGGGAAAAGAAGGAACTGGATAATTCAGGCTTCCAGTATTTATAGGGTCAGACACCTCTGATCCAAGGTGCCTCCCACTGTCTCTCTCACTGATGTCAGAAATCTGCCAGTTCTGGCATTGCAACCTCCTAAATTTGAACTTGGATAGTCATTAGAGTGATCTTGTGCTTATGGTTGAAGAGAGTAGCTCACAAACCTCCCTGTTTCTAACTGTATTACCTCTTTTTAGGATTATGGGAGCATGGATAATCATTAGGGTTGTGTGGCATTTACAGTTGAATGAAGGGAAGGGAGCCATGTGCTCAGCTCCTTTGTTTCTAGCTGTACTATAATTATTGATATAGGAGATGAAATAGTACCTCCAAATGATATACGGGAACTAGTATAACTCTTAACCTGCTAGATGATGTCTGATACTCCAAGTTCATGTTCTCTAAAATCAAAGAACAAATTCTAGAAACAACAGAGGTTAAGGGTAGGAAAATATTTATTGAGAGGATAGCTCCTGAGAAACAGGAGTTCCAACTGGGTGGCCGAGGACCCCACTTTATAGGGAAGTTTTTATAGAGCAAAAACCACGTGAATACAACATGGATCAAAGTTATTATCAACTAATAAAGTCACAGTTATACTCATATAATAGTGATTCAACAGGGAAGAAAGTCATATAGCAAGAGTACCTGGAAAGAACAAAGAATTTTTCAGGTAGGTGATGGATCTGGGGGTCTTGATTACCCACTGAGGTGACTGAGGCCCATCTAGATGTCACTAGTCAAGGTGTTATCACTTATCTCATCTCTTGGGGAAGTATGTAGGCCTGATTCTTTTGTTATTATCTTGAGGCCTGGCCACAGTTGCAGTGTGTTTTACCTTTTGTCTTGTCTTTCTGAGGCCTCAGTCCTGTCTAATTGCCTATTATCATTTCTACGTAACTTAGCGGTCTATAATACTATAACATAGTTTTTTGTTTCACTTTGTTTGCAAATCACTGGGGCAAAATTCAGTAAATTGTGCTATGGAAGGTGACAGTTGCCTCCATAAAGCCTATTCTCAGACCTGGGAGACAGGTCTGCAGCTGTGGAAAGACAGGAAGAGGAGTCATAGGACTCATCCTAAACACAATAGAAAAGCAATCGCTTCACTTCCCATTAGTTCATTCATTTCTCAAAACAACCGAACTCTGAAGGTACAGCTGCACTCATATGCTGTTGGGGGGCGCCAGGAGCACACCATTTGGGTCGGGCAGGAGCAGCCGGAACCTTTGTCCTCAGCCCCATGTTTCCCAGGGCTCGGTTCCTACCGGTACACCACTAAAAGGACACCCCCTCCCCGCCTCCTCCGCCGCCCCCTTGCCCTATCCGGACAGCAGGTTCCGGAGTTTGCGACTACTCTCACCGCGGTTAACTGCTACCTCAGCGACGGAGGGCAGTTTCTCCAGGTGGCGTTCCTCTGGTGAGGTTCCCCAGTCCTTGCAAGGGAAGGCGTCCTCTCTGGCGCGCGCCCCGGCTCCCGCCGC